TTTGCTTCTGCTTCTTAGCAAGCTTTTGCTTGATAAAGAACTTTTTAAGGGCTGCCATACCCTGGAAATAGTTAATGCACCACAGAATCTACAAAATTCAGAAGTCCTGATAGCCAAAGAATATTCAAACGGATAAAAACTGTGCTAAGATACACCGACTTATATTCAGTGAAACACACACATATGTGGAACTTTCTTTATACATCTATACATTATTGAACACAACTAGTCATTCTCTGCAATCTAACTAGGCTTCATTTTCCAATGTTTTCGATGGAATATGTCCTCCGCATAGGATTGAGTAGGTAATCGCTTCATTTGGCGGTATGGTCTTTGTCCCAAGTCTGGTTGTGGGAATAACTTCATCAGTTTGTTGAATTGTGCCGTCGTTAAAGATTTCCCTTGTGCTCCTTCGCCAAGTATACCCTTAAGAAATGAGAAGTAGATACGTTTAACAAGAGGAAAGATCGCAAAAGTAAAACTTTTCCACTACCAGTTTTCTACAAAAGCCTCGTAAAAGTTAAAGGACAAGATTTTTGAATGTCGTAGACTTAAGAAACCAAGCAACACAATGCAGCCAGGTAGGGTTGTCTACAATTATATAACCTCCATATTATTAGTGAAGCACACATTGTACAACACTAGAGCAATGAAGGTAAGAGCTGGACTATTCGTTATGAAACTAGCAAGAGCCGCATTGTTGCGATTTGAAAGATAGAATACTTCCTAAATATGCTAATGGCTGAGATACTTGCAGTACAAAGAAAATACCTAACTAGAATTAATTAGAGTCATAAGAAAAACAGTAAGCAAAGGATCAAACTATTGAAAAATTCAAAACGTTCAAACTAGACTAGGCAGAAGGACCTGCCTAAGCCCAAAGAAAATTCAAATGTATTGATACTGCCGTCCGCATAGAAAAGGCAAAAAAGGCTACTTTGCACGGTAACATTTGACACACCTTTGTAGCAGCCTCTTTATATTCTTGCATTGCTCGTTCCGACTCATGAACACAGTCCATGTAAGCTGTGTGTTGCTTTCCGCAAGGTTTGTCGTCAAACTCCCATTTTTTCAAACATGAAAAAAGAGCCTGAAGCTCTTGTGTACAGGATGACGCTGAAAGCATGAAACCATGTTTCAGCAAAGTAAATCAGAAGAAGATAAAATGAAAGAATCCAAGATTATGAAGAAAACCAACCTGCTGGTCTTCCCCTCTTTGCATTACTGTGGTTTTTCGATGCAAGTGGTAGGATTTCGGAAAACACAGTAACTTTTGGATAAACGGATTTCCCCCTTGCTAAAGCACTTTCCT